CTGCCCTCCAGCTCTGCCAGTGCCCCTCACTCCCGCCCTGGGCTCCCAGGGCCTGTGCGGAGCCAGAGGTGCCGTGAGGCGAATCCGGGGAGTGATGGGGACGGAGCAGGATGGAAATGTCTCTTTTACTTGGCAAAGTGCAAAATATACAAAAAGGAGCCGGGACCGGGGGTCGGGGGGGAGCAGGGACACAAACACACAACAGGGGAGGTTACAGCGTCCCCTGCCAGCCGTTCAGAGACACACATCGCACAGCGTCTCTCTCACACACACACACACACACACCCCAGCACCCCGCACAGCATCTCTCTCTCACACACACACACCAGCACCCTGGACAGCATCACACACACACACCCCAGCACCCGCATAGCGTCTCTCTCTCACACACACCCATGCACCCGCACAGCGTCACACACACACACACCAGCACCCGCACAGCGTCTCTCTCTCACACACACCCCAGCACCCGCACAGCATCTCTCTCTCACACACACACCAGCACCCCGCACAGCGTCACACACACACAACACCAGCACCCGCACAGCGTCTCCACACACACACAACCCAGCACCCGCACAGCGTCTCTCTCTCACACACACACCAGCACCCCGCACAGCGTCACACACACACAACCCAGCACCCGCACAGCATCTCTCTCTCACACACACACCAGCACCCCGCACAGCGTCACACACACACAAGCCAGCACCCGCACAGCGTCGTGCACACACACAACTAGCTGCAACTGCCCCAGACATACACAGCCGCCTCCCTCCACCCCAAGACACACAAACGCCAGCGTCCCCCAGTGTCCCCTGCCCAGGGTTTCTCTCTGTTTCACACACAGACACACACGCACACCTAACCCTCCCAAGTCTCATCCTTCCCCACAGGACAGCCCCACACAGTGGCACAGACCAGGAGATGCACGCTAGGCCGTACACAAGGATAAAACACACACCCACGCTCCTGTCACACGCACACAGACTCACATCCTGGCGCGAACACTCAGTCACACCCACGGACTCCCTCGCACGCACGCCCACGGCCACGCCACACAACGTCCGTTCAATTCGGCGAGATCCGATGGTCCCGACAAACGGCAGCGTGAACAAGGGAGAGACGCCGACCCCTCAGTCTTTGGCACGCCTGTGCGCTCACACACACATATGACTGTGCGCACACGTAATACTACACACCCATGTAACACTGTCCACCATCCCTCCCTTCTCCAGAAGATGAGACCCCAACAGCCTGGCTCCGGGGGCGGGAACACTGAGAGCTGGGACGCAGGGCCCCAGAGTCCACGGCACAGCAAGCGGGGGGAGTCCATTGGTGTGTCCCCGTGAGCCAAGTGCGGGGGGACCCTTCAGGCCCCTCCATGGGCGCCGTGGGACGAGGTGACTGTCTCGGCCTGGGCCCCCCGAGAGACCCCATTGTCCAGCGCCTGCAGCCCTGAGCCCTGGGGGTCCCCGGAGGCAGCCGGCCGCCCCCAGCAGCACCGGCCGCTGCAGGGCGGGCTCCAGGCGAAGCGCTCGGCCGCGCAGTAATAGACCAGCGGGTCCAGGCAGGCGTTGAGGCTGGTCAGGGCCATGGTGACGCGCCGGGCGGCGTAGGTGCCGCGGAGGAGCGGGCAGCCCTCCAGCGCCCCCAAGCGCCACAGGGTGTGCACCACCTGGGTGACATGGTAGGGGGCAAAGCAGAGCAGGAACACGACCAGCACGACCAGCACCGTGCGCAGCGCCTTGCGCCGGGCAGCCCGTGAGCCGGGCGCCATCCCCGGCGTCTCCAGCAGCCGGCGGGCGATGAGCGGGTAGCAGACGCCGATGAGCACCAGCGGCACCAGGAAGCCAACAGCAGCGGCGAAGAGGCTGACACCTGAGATCCGGCCCTTCCAGGAGTCGCTGGAGAAGTTCTCCAGGCAGGCCAGGCGCCCGTCGGGGAAGGGGCGGGTCAGGGGGCCCCGCAGCGTCAGGTACAGCACGGCCACGGCCAGCAGGGCCCAGACGGCCAGGCAGCTGGCCACGCGGTAGAGGGGCCGGCGCAGACGGAGCGAGCGCAGCGGGTGCACCACGGCCACGTAGCGCTCCAGGCAGATGCAGGTGAGGAAGAGAGAGCTGCCGTACAGGTTGGCGTAGAAGAGGGAGCCAGTGATCTTGCACATGGCCTCCCCGAACACCCAGTCGTTGCGCAGGGCGTGGTAGGCCACCCGGAAGGGCAGGGTCAGCACGAAGATCAGGTCGAGGGACGCCAGGTTCGCCAGGAAGATGTTGGCCGGGGCGGTGGCCGTCCGGGTGCGCAGGAAGTACCAGAGCACGGAGAGGTTCCCGGCCAGGCCAAGCACGAAGACCAGGCTGTAAACCACGGGGAACAGCACGTACTGGAAGTCGGCCTGTTCCCCGCAGCCCGTCTCGTTGGGGGGCAGCGCCGAGGCGTTCACGGCCAGGGTCCAGTGAGGCTGGGAGGGAGGGAGGGAGGGAAGTTAAAACCCACGCAGAGCTCGGCGGGTGCCCCTCACTCCCGACCCGCAGCCCCTGCTAGCCCAGCCCTGCCCCCCCCAGCTCTGCCAGTGCCCCTCACTCTGACCTGCAGCCTCCTGACTAGCCCAGCCCTGCCCCCC